ACTAAACGATCGGGTGCTAAGCTAATGGAATGGGTCATGTCAATCAGATCATTCAACTAATGATGTGACCTCGTTAATCAAATAACAACTCATTGTTTATGGTTAGGAACCATAACCATCTTTGATTAACGAGCTAGTCAAGTAGAGGCATACTAGTGACACTTTGTTTGTCTATGTATTCACACATGTATTATATTTCCGGTTAATACAATTCTAGCATGAATGATAAACATTTATCATGGTTATAAGGAAATAAATAATAACTTTATTATTGCCTCTAGGGCATATTTCCTTCAGCGCTGGTGGGCGGACGACACACTCGGCAGGCCAAAGGGCATGTGAATGTAGCTGTGCGGTGGGCCCTCGCAGCGTCCCACGAGGGAAGGCCAGAAAAGCTCCTGAGAAGGAGACCTGTTGAGCCCTGGAACGTCGATGCTGATGCGCATCCCGGCATCCTCGCGTGGATGGGAAGCTGCACCTCGTGAGCGGCGGTCGCCGCGCATGGCCCTTGCGTCTTGCAATTCCTGGGTGGTCTTCGTGATGAACTCCTGAACGGTGGGCGATCCTTGCCCTGTGCCCTCCCGAGGGAAATATGCCATGAAGCACGCTTCCAGGTGGTGCCAAAGCGCCTCCCTCGTGATGTGGGCAAGGTCTGAGACCTTCCAGAAGAAAGCCCCGAGCCCTGCCCGAGGAGGGCGCCGGGCGTGCCTTCCTATGCGATGGAGGGGGGATCCTTTGGAGCGGGTGCCGATCCTGACGAGGCTCATGCTGTGACGCTACCCTCCTGAGGTCCTGCACGGCGCAACTGCTTCTTCTTCTTGGGGGATGGCCTCGGGAGGGCCCTCGCTCTTGCTGTCGGGGTTGTCGATTGCTGTAGCTTGGAAGGCACGCTCGAGGGAGCACACCGCATCTCTTTCTTCACATGGGACCATGATGATCCCGCCGCTTCCTGGCATCTTGAGGACATTGTAGCCGTGATGGGTCACCGCCATGAACTTCGCCAGGGCTGGGTACCCGGATGGCATTGTACGGCATACGGATGTGCGCAACGTCAAAGTCGGTGAGATCGATGCGGTAGTTCTTGCGTTCCCCGAAGGTGACAGGGAGGCGGACCTGCCCTATCGGTGTGGTGGAACCGTCGGTCACTCCTGAGAAAGGCTTGATAGGCTGAAGCTAGTCATACGGTACTTGGAGGCTGTCGAACGTGTCGACGGACATGATGTTGAGCCTTGCGCCGCCATCGATGAGGGTCTTGGTAACTTGCACATTGCTGATGACTAGGGAGCAAAGCATCGGTAGGGCGCCAGCGGTAGCTGCGCACTTGAGCTGATCTGCTGAGCTGAACGTGATAGGGCACTGGGACCATCTGAGCGGGCATGTGGCTTCGAGCTTGGGGAGGACTGCATTCACTTCACGAGCAAACTGCTTGAAGATACGCTGTGAGGCTGGGGCCTGGGCTCCGCCCAAGATGCAGGTGATAGCACGCGGTTCCTGGAAGCCCCCAACCCCCTCGTCTTGATGGTGTTCGACATTCCTTCTTGGCGGTGGCGGCAGCGGAGGGAGTCCAGCATTGCCTTGAGGACGATCCTCATGAGGTTGATCCCTCCAAGCGTCCTCGCGAGGCTGATCCTGCCAGCGGTCCTCACGAGGCCGGTCGCGCCACTCGTGGCGCGGGCCACGGTCGTCCCAGCGTCCGCCACCATGTCCTCCTCCTCGGTCGTAGCCCCGGTCGCCGCGCTTGGGGCGTCGACCGAAGCATCCTTCACGAATGGCTCTGAGCTCTTGACAGTCGTTGGTGTTGTGGGTGTTCAGGTTGTGGAAGGTGCAGAACGGGCGGTTGCCCTTGGATGACTTTGGTTGATCTCTGCCATGCTTGGTGTCTGGTTCTGCTGCGAGCACGACTGCTCCCTTGCGCTTCACATCCTTGGCCTTGGCTTTCTTCTCCTCTGGGTCTGTAGCAGGGAGCTCGAGGAGGGAGAGGTGCCCCTCCTCGGCTCTAGCACACTTGGTCGCGATGTTGAACAGCTCCAGGGTCTTGCACAACTCTTCATGGATAGCGAGCTCTTCCTTCATCTTGACGTCACGGATGTCATCAGAGAACGCAGAGATGATGGCCTCGTTGGTCACCTTGGGGATCTTGATCTGTGCACTATTGAAGCACTGAATGTACTTCTGCAGGGTCTCTCTTGTTTGTTGCTTGATGCGGCGCAGGTCGCCCGCGACCAGGGGGGGAGGGGGGCCGTCGCGAGTGCCCTGGAAGTTGGCGATGAAGCGGTTGCGCATCTCGTCCCAGGAGGAGATCAAGCCTGGTGGCAGGTTCAGGAGCCAGGAGCGGGCGCCATCCTTGAGAGCCATGGGAAACCAGTTTGCCATGACTTTCTCGTCGCCGTTGGCCGCTTCGATGCTCAGCTCGTAGAGCTGCAAGAACTCCGCGGGGTCGAGGGTGCCGTCGTAGCGAGGAGGCAGATCCGGCTTGAACTTGCCTGGCCAAGCGACGCTACGCAACTCGGGGGTGAAAGCGCGGCAGCTGGCTGTGGTCACCGGGGCCCGCCTCGGGGGTGGAGCTTGGTCTTGATGGGGTCCGCATCCCGCCACTACAGGTGGCGCACGGTCTTGCCGCAACAGCCGGTCCTGGCACGGCGGCAAGAGGAGCGGTGGAGCGTTTTCTTGTGGTCGAGGGACTTCTTGACAGCTTCTTTCTTCACGCGCGGGCGCAGGACGCGGCGGGTCGCGTCGCGGAGCCACGCGTCTTGGCGCCAGGGCGCCGTCTCCGGGAAGATGTGGTAGATGCGCTCCGTGGGCTACGTCGCCCGTAGCTGACGAAGGGCGAGGCGGAGAGATGGACGGCGCAGGAGAGCCCCCTGCGGCACGGACAAACTCGGCGATGTGGTCGAGCCAGTCCTCGTAGAGGTCGTCAACCGGTCGGTAGCGCAGGAGCTCGTGCCATGAGGAGCGCGGTCGGTGCGTCCATGGGAGGGCGACATGCATGGGAAGAACCGGCCGGGGTCAGCGATGGAGTGGCGGTGCGGTCGTCCCGCCGCATCGAGGGGTGCAGCGAGGATTCTTGCTGCTCGTTCCCTACCGGACCGGTGGCGGTGCGCGACGGGGAACGACGAGGTGGCCCACCGATGGAAGCCGTCTGAGCGACATGGGCGGCGAGGGCAGCCCGGCGCTCAGCACGAACTCGGCGCACGTCTGCCATGGAGACGATGGAGCGACAGGACGCGAAGCGATGGAAGGAAGCTTCGGCGCACCCCTACCTGGCGCGCTAAATGTTGGATCACGGATTCTGGCAAACCTTTAAGGTTCGAACACTGGGGTGCGCGTGGAGGTTTTCTCCCTATCGATCCACACCCTAGTTCGCTAAGATCTCACGGATGAACTCGACGAACTTGCAACACAAAGAAACAAGATTTATACTGGTTTAGGCCACCGTTGTGATGTAATACCCTACTTCAGTGTGCTGGTGGTGGATTGTCTCTTGGCTGATGATGAACAATACAAGGGGAAGAATAGCCTTCTAAGGTTGAGGTGTTCTTGCGCTTGGTGCGCTTGTGTGGGTGAGATGTCTCTGAATCAGTTCTTTCTCTCTCTCTCTATCTGTCCCTTCCACATGGTGGCTAGTTCTAGTTATATAGGCCCTGATCCTCTCCCCAAATATTGAGCGGGAAGGGAGCCAACAAAGGCCAATTCGAAAGGGAACAGCTAATACAGGTTATCCTGACAAAAGGTGGTCTTCGACTGCCAAAGGCTCTGGTGATGCGTCGTCCTCGACTCCATGGTGACCTCCATCTTGCCATCCTTCTAGTCTTGGTCTCGTTGCACCAATATGAAAACCTTTGCTTGATGCCTTGGTACTCCGCGCCTGTGCTTGCCCCCTTAGCATCAAAGAGAAAACAAGGACGCTGCGCGCGCTAGCGCCCGCCTGGTCTCGATCGTCATGGCTCACGTCACGAGGACCTCGCGAGGTTTGCCTTGCCTTGATCTCTCCGCCCCTTGTGAGCCTGCCTGGTGAGGCCGCTCCTAAGGAGGTCTTGTGTCGTCCGCCTCGCGAGGCTTGGTCCCTCACGAGGGTCTTGAATGTCTTGTCCATAAGATGGGCCGTACAGACCTGCCAGCCCAGCCACATCGTGGGCCGCAGGCAGACAAGTCTGGGGACCCCCGTTCCCAGAACGCCGACACATGCCTCCAGGAAGGTCACGACGCGAACAAGGCCGCTGCTGCCAAATCAGAAGAGGATTGAAGGTTTTCACCCGGACAGGGGATCAGAGTGGGACCTCAACTGCGCCTCCATGAAGAAAAGTGACGCCCTTGGGCGTCGCCGCTGCCGGCCGGCTAGACCGGCCAAGGTTTCCTCCGGACCCCAAATACACCACGAGCGCTCACCACCACCGAAGCTGGCAAACGCAAGCCATCGGGACGTCAAGAGAGGCAGCGGGATAAAGAGGAACCTCCAGATTTAACGCAATAGAGCACCGTGTCGTGGCCGGCTCCACCAACGACCCGCCGCCCGCACAGCCGAGCACACTGTCCAACGTCTCCTGCAGACGTCGCCTCGCCGGCAGGGCCACCGCCCCATGAACCGATAGGCCTCTAATGCGAGTCTCTGGTCCGCACACCGTCGAGATCGACCCGAGTGCCGAGATTCTCGCCACCACCTTCTCCGACGCCCACGCGGGCTTTCCTGGCAACCGTCTCCGGTGGCGGCGAGGAAGAAAAAAAGACGGGGAGGGCCTAATCGCCCCCGAGTCTCCCGAGGGGCGCTGAGAGGGCCATGTATTGCTTTAACCGGATATTTTGTCGGTTTCGAGAGCGGAAAAAGATCTATTGCTGTCATTATAAGTTTCTTTTCTGGTAAGGAATAGATCAAGCACTCAATTATCAATCTCGAGGAAGTAAAAAGGAAAACCCAATCATTCACAAACCACTACACATGGAAAAACATTATTTGGATCCAGGCACCGACCGATCGTGCGCGCGTACGGGATGGATTAGCTTAATTAGGTGGTGTAGTCCTTGAGGATGTTGAGGGTGAGCTCGCTGGCGTCGGTGGCCTGCACGTCGATCTGCACGCCGTCCAGCTCCTTCTTGAGCCCCTCCGTGGAGCTGGCATACAGCATCTTGTTCCTCGCGTCCGCAGACTCCGGCGACCAGTGGATGAAGAAGATCTTGCTCCGCGGCGTGTCCCCCGCCGAGTCCTCGGACACGAAGTCCAGGTCGTACACCGCGTAGCGGCAGTCGTCGGCGGGCATCGCCGCCGCCAGGTCGTCGAAGGTGGCGTCGAGGGCGCCCACCTTGTCCACCACCACCTGCTGCGCGTCGTCGTCCATCTTGTACACCACGAACCGGTGCTTGCGCTCCGCCCGCAGCTCCTGGAACACCTTCACGCACTCCTCATTCACCGCCACCCCGGAGACAGAGTTCGCCTGCGCACACAACCAAATTCCACCAAGATTATTCACGAACGAACATCTCAAACTGACCAAGAAAAGGAAGGAGCAGAGCAGGTCGTAATGGCACTCACCATTGTTGATGGATCCGGAGGTTGGCCCGAGGAGAAATCCGTGTGCTGATGCTGAGACGGGAACTGGTAGCTGGATTGAAAGCTGATGGTTGGGTGTGATGAGTGTTGTTGATTTAGCAGTGTCTGGTATGGTGATTTTATAGGAGGGCCGTGACCATGTCGGCGAGATAAAGTCATGGAGGTGGACACGTACGTACGTGTGGGCGCTGCGACGTCGCGGTCGACATGGATGGTGCCGACTGTTCTGGACGGGTGGATGAGGGAGGAGGAAGAGGAATCATTGGAGTGCTGTGAGTCACGCCGAATAGTCTAAACGAGGGAAGTCGACGGTGTGGTGGGTGTGTGGCCAGTTCTGTTCCGCTGGCGTGGTCGGCAGGGTGAGGGGTGTGTCCGTCGGATTGGCTTTATCCTTATTCGGTGCGGATCAGCAGTGGGAGTAAACAGTTGATCGATTCTTATTCGGTGCAGATCAGCAGTGGCGTGCGGATCTGATCTCTGTCGCCGCATGCACCTGTCGGGCAAGCAGAGTCCAATGTTCAGGGCTCCTTTGATTCAAAAGAATTGTATAGGATTTTTTAGAGGATTTGAACCCTTAAATTTTTTCCTGTGATACTCGTTTGATTCGTAGGATTGAAATTCTTAGGAATTTTTTTCATAGGATTCATTTATACTATATTTTGAAGGAAAATTTCCATCCACTTAAACCTCTTTATAGAATTTCTTTGTTTTTCCTGCGCTATCAAACATTCTTTCAAATCCTGTAGGATATTATGAGACATGTCATCCTATTCCTGCATTTTTTCTATTTCTTTATTTTAACAATCCTACGGATCAAAGAGGCCCTCATTTTGAGTATGCAGGTGAACGAAGGTGAACCGATTGTGTGTGTGTTTACAAAATGTGTGAGCAAGGCATCTCCGGCATCACCGCATCAGGAACGTGAACAGCAAAAAGAAAAGGGCAGTGATAGGCGCCGGTGTACTGTCCCAAATTTCGGCCGGTCTTAGGCTAACTCCATCGCGCGATCTTAAATGGACGTTCGTTTTGTCCGATATCTGTCCGTTTGGATAGAATAATGGGGACGGGTCCGTGCGTGTCCTGAAATGCGGTGGCCGTGCGCCCAGCGTGCGGCCGCATCCGTTTGCCTCATCCTGTCCGCGTCTATTTTAAAAAAGAGCAACGTTTCAAATGCCAAGCCCTAGTTCATCAGGCCAGCGGCCCCAGTTCATCACGCCGGCAACAGAGCCAGCAGCCTACACGTCCATCATCGGCAACTCAGCCAGCGGCCGGCAACACATACAACCTCCAAAATAAATAGTTGTCCTCGCTGGCAACACAGTCGGCGGCCGGCAACACAGCCGGCCTCCAAAATGAATCTTTTTCTCGCCGGCACACAGCCAGCGGCCCAGCGGGTGGGCGGCACCCATGCCAGCCTCCAAAAAGAACGGCCACGGCCGATCGGACGACCTAGTTCAGGCCGTCGGCGTCGAGCATCTCCTTCTGCCTGGCCTCGAACCAGACCCTCGTCTTCTCGCTCATCTTGGACAAGTCCACGCTCATGATCGCAAGGGCCACCTCCTTCGCTTTGGTGGCGGCATTGGTGGCATCGATGTCAAGTTGCCTCTGTCTGGCATTGACATTGTCAGCCTCCATGTCGAGCTGCCTTTGCCGGGCCGCCTCCTCCATGTCGAGCTGCCTTTGCCGGTCCGCCTCCTCCATGTCAATCTTCCTCCTCTTGGCCGCCTCCTCCATCTCAAACTTCTTCCTTTGAAGGTCTAGGTATTGCTTCATTTGCTTGTCCTTGCTTTGCCGCCTCCTCCTCCATATCATCGAATGTCTCACAACCATTATTAATTAATTCACACATATATACACACATGTATATATATACAATTTCTCCTAATTGGTGCCTTCGGAGCCAGTGGCATTAGCCTAGCTAATTGGTGTCTTCAGAGCACGATAACAATTGGAAGTGGTTCATGGGGGCGGTAGCGGGTAATAGTATTCTCCTTTGGAATCTATGACCTGGTCGAGCAAAAATCCCGCTATTTCCTCTTGAATTGCTTCTACGCGGTCCTCTGCTAGGAGCTTGTCCCGCACCTCTTTGAACTGTTAAGAAGGAGATCAATATGCATGTGTATTAGTTGTGTGACTAGATATCGATAATTGATTAAAAATTGTGAATAGTGTTCTAACAATCGATATCGTACCCACTCCTGTCTTTGAGATTTGTTCCTTTCGGACGCCATCATGCGAATGTTCTCGCAAACGTAGTATGCACATAGATCATTCCCCGACGCCTGCTTCAGAGCCTTTACGAGAATGGAATTTGATCAGATAATAATTAATAAAGCATAATAATTAAAGAGATGGCAGCTAGCTAGTACTACTTAATTACTTACCTTGGGTCGATACCATTTCAGATTTTGTTTCCATGGGCCTAGAGTGGCCCTGATGAACTTTGCCTAAGCCCTACCCGCCAACAAAGAAAATGAATAAATGGGTTATTAAATAGTTGTTATCAGGAAATGACGAACTAATTAAATAGGCCGAGATATAGTTAATAATGATTGAAATTACCTGTTGACTTTCCCCTTCACGATGGTGTAGTCACTTGCTTTCTTAAGTAGTGAGTCTAGTACTTCAACTGTTCCTTCATCAACTTTAATGATTAATAAGATCCAGTGAAATCTGCATGCACACACGTTTGTATGTCTTAATTAAGCGAGCATATGTAAGCAAAAACATGTAGCTAGCTAGTAGGGAAAAACAGAATTTGTAGTACAAGACAGTGTGACTCACTGGAAGTTGTAAGGAAGTAGTATATCTTCATTGTATTTGAGGTCCTTGAAGAACTCTAGCATGCTTTCCTCTACACTTTTTTCATGATATGGATCTATTTTCCATGTGTATTCATTAATGGTATTTGGGTCAACGAACCCAATGCCATAGCGTCCACCTTTTTTCATTTCATAAATCTTCATCCTGCATAATAGCACAGAAAAGAATATAGTGAGGATAATTACAGGTAATGATTGATCAAAATGATCACTACAGCTAGCTTGAGACTTAAATTATAGAAAGAAATCACTTACAAACAATAGCAACTGACGATAGATTTGTCGAGTGCGTCTTGATTGTATAGCTGAAATAGTTCTGAATACTCAACGGTCACATCTTTCTCATGGTAGTAATGATCCTTCTTGGCATTCACCATGAGGGACTCTCGATTGAAAATCTTGGTAATGTCCATGTACCATTGATGCAATTTATACATTCTCGTTGGGAGCTTATTAACCTCATCTGGCTCGACCAAAGGTTGGCCCCGGGCATATTTCCGTTTTATTTCCTCCTCTCTAGTCGAAGACATGGGCTCGATATCGAGGAGTTATCCAACAGTGATCCCGTTTGTTTCAGCCTGCGCAATATGCTCCTCGGTTATTACCACATCGCCCACCCCGGGAACGTTAACGGTTTGCCCACAATAATATTGGGCGCGCCTACTCTCATGTGTTGTTGGCACAACAAGCGGGGGGATTGATTGCGCCGCATGTTCTCCTAGCTGGGGAACGGTTTTACCGCTCCTTTTGCCAGCTGATTTGCTCGAGCTCGAGCTTGCCTCTTTCTGTAGATGTGCTCGATTTAACTTCTTGATGTGGCGCTCATAGTCTGTGTCAACAGGCTTGGGAGCTGGTGCTCTAGCCATACGAATGAAGTGGTCAATCTTTTCCACAGGCACTTTCTCCCTTGGCGGCGGTGGCGGTTTCGGTGCAAAATGGGCTTCCACCTCGGCTTTCGATATGGCTATGTTTTCCTCCTCGGACTTGTCGTAAGGCCTCTACGGAAGAGGCGCGAGGCTTGGACCATATTGAAATCGCTTGCCTCTGCCTGTACCTCTAGTACTACCTCGACTTGTACCGCTACGCACCATAGCTGAGGCGGCTCTCTTCCGTGATTGCTGAGGCGGCGAAGACGGCTACGTGGCTGAGTTGGAGGAGGAGGAGTGGCCTGAAGCTGTGCCGGACTTGGAGAAGGAGTGGCCTGAAGCTGTGCCGGACTTGGAGGAGGAGTGGCCTGACGCTTTGCAGGACTTGGAGGAGGAGGAGTGGCTTGAAGCTGTGCCGGACTTGGAGGAGGAGTGGCCTGACGCGTTGGTGGACTTAGAGGAGCGGGAGTCTGCTGACTCGGTGGCGGACTTCGACGAGGAGTCGGATGACGCGGTGTCGGTGGCCTTCGAAAGATGATGCAATCCTTTTTCCATAGGATGATACGATGGTTGTCCTCTCCCAGTGTGTGCTCATCGTCACCTCCAGGAATGTCAAGCTCTAGCCCCGAATATTGGTCCACCACCTCATCAACCAAGACACGAGCATAGCCCGCTGGAATCGGGTTGCAATGGAAGGTTGCCTCGGGGGGATTTGTAAAAGCAAGGGCGTCCGCCACCTTCATGGATATGTTCTTCATTTTGAAGTGTAGCTCGCAGTTAGTGTTCTCCATGATGTCATCCACTGGGTAGCTATCCAGTAATGCGTCGCCCGGGGCGGAACCCACGCTGCTTCTCGGCATGGATGGGACGGTGCTATCCAATGGTGGATCATCCGCTAGTTGCTGAGACCCCCTTTGCTGGCTAAGTGAGTCGATCTGCTCCTGCTGCCGCTGGAATTTAACTGCCAAGTCCGCGTGCGCTGATTCTAGGCCTTGAAGGCGTTCATAGTCTAGCTTCCTCTGCTCCTCCTCCATCTTCCTCTTCTTCTCCTCCGCAATCTTCTTTCTCGCACGGGTTCTGTAGTCAGCGTTCCAGTCCGAAAATCCCTCATACCACGGAATAGCACCCATGCCTTGTGTTCTTCCCGGGTGTTCAGGATTTCTCAGGGCACGCGTAAGCTCGTCGTTCTCTCTGTTGGGCTCGAACAACCCCGATCGAGCCTCTTCTATTGCAACAAGTAGCTTATCTTCGGCTCCGTCCAAACATGCCTTCTTCGAAACTTTGCATGTCTTCGGGTCCAACTCCCCCCATGCGTATAGAACCAAGTCCTGCACCTGGGGGCCAGCTCAATGTTTCTGGAGTGACACCTGCATCCAGCATCTCTTTCTCAGACTTATCCCACTTAGGCATTCCCACCGCATAGCCACCTGGCCCCAGCTTACGGAACTTATCCTTTTTTGCGGCATTGGCC